GTTACGGGATGCCAGCAATTGTGTAACTATTCCGCGCCAATGCTCGACGATTAAATCTTCCAGCAACTATGCGAATCAGCGCACATATTTCTGCGCGTACCGGGTGCTCTGCGATTTCGTCACCGTTAAATCTAATACCTGCTCGAGGAACCTTTTAAGCTTGGACGGCCACGTGACGATTCGTGGATTCCTTAGAAGTTTACTGCGGATTTTATCCATTTAAGCAAAAAATCTGACAGTCTATCGACGCATTAAAAAGTTGGACCGCTGAGAGTCGACTTTCTAGGTACACCACTGAACGATCTGGCACGACGAAAAAGCAGTAGTCGCGTTTGTCGCGATCCACCATCCTGAAAGTGGCCTTGAGCGGCCAATTAAGTTCGATCCTGCTATAATAACTGGAAGCATCCTTTCCGTCCGCGTTCGCAACACGGAGAAATACACCAACCATCGGGCATGGTTTATTTATCGACGATTTAATCGATTCCGGATAAAAAGGTCCACCCTTGGAGGGGCCGCTGGTTGGCAAGAAATCCGCTGCCACCCTGCGCGGTCGAAAAACCGGTATTAGTTACTGGTGAACAGATAAAATCGTCTTTCGTTCTGACTTCGGACGAAACTGCGGACGCCGCGAGTATGGACGAGTTTTTCTGCGAGTTATGGCAGCCGAGGCGGCACAGGCATTTGTAGGTTCGAGACCAGCGAACTACCTCGTAGCGATCGAAAGTGGTCGCAAGAAGTCGCCGCGAGCCGAGACACGCCGAAATAGACTTTTTTCAGCGTGCTTTGGGGGATCAAGAAAAGTTTCACTATGAATCTTGCAATCGGTAAATGTGTGTCCTTTTTTTCAGTTTTAGTATCGTCGATCAGGGTTGTACATTGTTAACATATTACGTACTGAATTTTAATTATTATTAGGTTACATTTTTCTACATGAAAATCACCCATCTTTTGAACAAATATCATTCATTAATTCACTTTATTAATTATAAATAGATTATTTCGAATTTCGTTATCCCATTATAATTTGTATCACATTGCAGAAATATGCATCGTACAAATGAATGTACTAAGTCTACATTAACCAATGTTCAGATAACATTTCATTCTGCTTTGATTACAATCTCGCGTTCCCTTAATTACGGTAATTATACTCCCCTATTGATTTTCCCAACTGCACAGCACCAATTATTTCAAACTGATAATTCCAGAATTCAATGAACAGAATAGTTTCAAACCTCGTAATTGTTGAAACCGCACCTATTTGGAAATGTCCAAAAGCCGAAATTATTCCAACCTGTGGCTATCCTCGATAATTCGGCGAAACTATAAAGATTCAAAATTCGAGACAAAAATGGGAAACTCTCGAAGCAGCAAGGAATTAACAAAATTATTTAGTCAAATTTTGCTGGAATCAAAAAATTTACTCTAGGTACGAAAATTGTTGCTACGCTGCTGGCTACATTCTTCATGGTTAAGAGTATTTGGATTATCACTTATTCCGATCTCTACAGATTTTGTTTAATAGAAAAAAAACTTCAATACCTTGAATTACAATCGATACATCGAATAAGAGTTAATTTAATTAAACGGATAGATCGTTTCAATGACCAATGGCCCTATCAATGGGTTGGTACCCACTGTTCCACAGTACCTATTCGAGTAAATAGGAAATAATGCGAGCAACACGAGCGAAACCCAAGGTATTAGACCGACGTTTCCGGTTCCGCGGCACGAGTGGGATCGTTCCAAGATCAATTTACCCCGACGTCGTTTGCACGGAACCTTTAACTCTGCAGTTAGCCGGTTTTATAGAATACTTGGAAGCATGGTGCCCCATAAGATCTATATTACGATTACGGTGCTCGCCGATTTACGAGGGTACGTAGTGGCTGTTTCAGCGTTAACGTTACTGCTGAACTAGAGGAGCTGGCGTCGGACTTGCGCTACATGGCAGCCCCATAAAAACCGCTTTGAACGTGCTGTAGTAATTGTTTGGCCGACATGGAGTGTGCAAAAAATGTTTATAGTTTTGTTTTCCTCGAGCATCGCCGCCGCCTCCGACGACGAACAGGAACGACGGTGCTCCACGTTGGGGCAAAGTCGAATTGTTATTTTCCAGGGGGCCACGTCGCTGACCCTTATGTTTTTATCGTGCCATTTAACAAGTAACGATGTAGCTGCTGCTAGTGCACGAATTTCTAAAAATGTTTAGACACCAAGCACGATCGCTGTTATTCAGAATATCAGGGAGCGTTTGAGGTAGGTGTCAGGAGAGGTCAGGTCTGGGATAGGCTCTAGATCTCTTTTCGTGCAGCACTAAACGTACACGTAAACTGTATGCATTGAGAACCTACTTGCATTACACGAGAATTTTTATTCTATTTTCCTATAAATTGTATTCAAATTAAAGATTTATTTCAAGAATTTTTGTGTATCTGCTCTTACTGCAACCTGTAATGTGAGAATGTTTTCCAATATGTTGTTGCATTACGCTTGAAAGAAAATGTTCCACGAATCGATCAAGGAAACACAATGGATAGTTACATCGAATTTGAAATGTATCTGGATGTATCATGAACTGGCGGAGACGCGGAACGGCCCCATAGGCGCGTTAATAAATATGATGCTAAAAACGCGTCGGGTCATTCTCGTGACCCAAGCGAAACGGAGATGATCGCGCGAACGTTCAAGAGCAGGCCAGTTATTGCATTCGTGCCAGGAAGATATTAAATGCATCGTTTATTTTAATCTGCGACGCTGTAATATCGCGCTATGTACACCGTGTGCATAGGCTGGCCAGTGAACAAGTTGCAACGAAGAGCGCTGCATCACGATCCAAGATGGCGATGAAAACCCCAATAATACTGGCAATCCGTTAACCTTGCGAATATTTTTTAACAACTCACGTGGTTATTTCGTTCCTAAAGTAAAAAGTTATTTTTTTAAGTGACTTTGTAAGAATTTTGAGTCATCGTCAGAAATCTATCAATCTACATAAATATAACAATTAAATTTATTCAATTAATTACATAGGTCCCATCAAAATGCAATTTATTTATACGCCATTACAAAACATCGATACAATTTTCTTATTCTTTTGAAAAATAACGGTTCATTTTAAGAACCAAATAACCACGTAATCAAAATTAAAGAAATGTTTTTAGTAGGCTATACTTTAGTTTCATCGCGGTTAAATTCTAGAAACGATCGTCCACGGAATTTCGAGCTTTTAAACAACACGCTGGTCTCAAGAATCATTGATATTCTCCGCACCAGATAAAACCTCCGTTCAAGAAGATTATTTTCATGGGATATTCGAGACGGGTTCAATTAGCATTAAAACGCCCACAGGCGTGAAACGCGCATCGAACAATCTTAGCATGTACACGTATGCGCGAGTATCGGTTGCAGCCTTGAAAATTAATGCCATCCACAGCAGCGTGCGCGACGTTTATTAACAATTACACGGTGAAAAAACAATCGAAAAAGTTTGAAATCGAGAGGATTGAAATTCCAGGATGAGGTAAGTGGACCTAATTTCGACGCTAACGCAGCCATCGACAATTTCAATTTATTTCATTAATATAATTACTGGCAGTTTGGTAGATACATTATACTTTTTAGTTTTTAGTAATACGTGTAGTTTACATTTATAGAACTATACAAGGTTATAATAAATTCTTCGTAACCCATTATCTTTATTAAGATAGTAAAAGATATTGCTCGTATCCCGTGATTTGCATATAGCAAATAAAAGATACTGTTTTCAACCAATTATTTTTACGGAGAAAGTAAAAGGCATCGTTCGCTACTCATTATTTTTATAAATAAAATAAAACATACTGTTTGTAATTTTTATAATGTAAAGAAATTATTTGGAATCAATTACTTTTACAAAGAAAATACAAGATATTGTTTTTAATACATTATTTTTATAAGGCTAGCAAAAATATTATTTGTAACCCATTACTTTTATACAGAAAATAAAATATATTGTTTGTAGCTAAGTATTTTCACAAGAGAAAAATAGATACAACCCACAACATTCCTCATCTTCTCCAGTCAAAGTAAAAATAAAATTCTGCACAAATTATCCAGCTATCACTTAAAGTGTCAATTGTCAAAAAAAGTGCCAATAATTAGCCCGTCTAGCATTCACGATGCGTTTAGGCGTTTCTTCGTCGCGTAAAATGGTCTGTATGACCGCCTGGTCGTCGAAAAATCGTGGGAATCGGCCGATAAAGTCCGGCACGTTCAAGTTTTTTTCCACGCGACGCCGGTTATTTGCGACGGCTCGATGCCGGAGCTTTTCGCGGCGCGTCCAGGGTAAAACAAACGGTGCAGTAAATATCCATCTGACACATCTATAAACCCAATAATTGCGTCGGCCTTGGAAGCTCCGCGCGGATCGTCGCGGTTCAAGCAACTCGAGGAATGGCTGCTCCCATCGAAACGTCAAATTTATCCCCGAGGAGCTGAAAGACGAGACACGATCGTTCTTCGAAGCGTCCTTCGGTTCGGTTGACAGCGAAAGTTGAAATTATAACGAGCTTCTTGTTGTTCGATTATTACCGAGTTGCCCGTCTCGACGATAGGCCCACGGTTAATTCTCTCGTTCGCGATACGTGCTAATTTCATAAAGTTTATATCGGCATTTTCAAACGTGACGACGTCTATGGTTTGAAAATACTGTTCTTTTATTTGTTTATATCGAAACCTTTATTTATAGAACTTCTTTCTAAAGTGTATCCTTTGTAAAAATACATTGTCTTTTAAGAGGTGCTTGCTAAGTTCCCTAAGTAATAGACGGAATTATCATTAATCATCCCTGTTTTCCAATAATAATTATAGGTAATATTTCGGGAAAGTAAGTACTCTGTATTTTCCATTGAAGCGTTATAAAAAATTAATCCGAATAAAATTTATAAATCTTGACACAGGTTTCACAAATAAAAACTACCCCAAGCTTTAAATTATATAACCAACCAATTGCAGAAACATAATTTTATCCACGTAGAAATTTTCAAGTATTAGTCCGGCAATCGACGCGTTAAACGTCAGCTATTCGCATCTTAGCAAAATGGAAGAACTCGCGACTCTCCTGGATGCTCTCGCGAGAGACAAAGAACGAGTGCCGTTAAGGGCTAGCGAAGGATCCCGAAGATGTAGGAGCCCGCTCGACTAAGGTACGAGCAACATAAATATCGACGATGCATGCTCCGTGGAACTAGCGCAATTAGAGACAGAGACGCGAGTAAAGAAGCCACGAACCGCGAAGGGGAGGGGGGAGGGGACGACTTGGAGAACGAGAAAACGACGATGAAGGGAGTCGACACCGCGAACAGTACTACGAAGTCGTGACCCAGCGTCGGAATATAGTTATCGGCTATGAACCGGCTGCTAGAGACCCGTCCCGCGGCAGCGTGGATCTCGAAGGCGTAAATTGGTCGAGGGGGATCGTTTTATTACAAGAGGGGGATGCTCGATAGGGGGAGGGAGGCTGGAGAGCCGAGGAAAGGGACCACGGTCTCCAGGCATGAAACGGACGGTCACTGTGTTGCCTTCTCTTTAGTTCTGTCTTTGTGCGCATCCTCTTCCTCCTGCCCCCCTCCGAATTCGCGTTTTATTTGTCGTGTTCAGTGCGCGGACGAGGAGATGCCAGGACACCGTTGCGCTGTACCACGGCATACCGTGGCAAACCGTACCAAACCGTGCCTCCTGCGAGGAATCTCGCTCGCTGGCGATCAGGGGTTCTCATCGTCGTGATACACCGATCTCTTATAGGTGGAATAACGAGGGAGCTTGTGCGTGGTCTTTCCTCCATCGTCGTTTATTGAAGATTGGAAGAGTGCGTCCATTGATGTTGTTTGCGCGCTAGTTCAATGGAATCAATTTTTTCATTTTTTTTTAGGTGCAGCAACAAGAGACGCTGGTGCGACTCACTCATTGTTTGCACAGTATTTATCCTCGAACGTCAAGATTAATTACATTTTGTGCAAGGTGGATGCACCGTGCGAGAGAACAGTTACACCTACGAGGACATTAACGTCGCGCAACTAACAATTCCTCGGATAATCACCGCCTCCCATTGTGAAAGACAAATGATGGCGTGTCGATGATCGATGTTAAACGGTGGACAATTAGACTTGTGTATGACAGTGTATTATTTCGGTAATGTATCTACGTTAAATTAATAACATCATAGTATACCTTCGCTAGATTAATAACTCCTTTGTCAAGATCTGGTATTGTATATTACTTAATCATAACTAGACTGCGAATTTTATGCATTTATGATTTAAACTAATATAATAAATACATGATAAACATAATCAAAAGGTATTTTCACTAATACAAAATGATATAACAATACTATTAAAATAATTGTAGAATATATTCAACATACATTATGCATATTTTATGTGGGTTTTCTATATTATTATTATAATTGTCAGAAATGCATCAAATCTGCAGTCTAATAATAAATAATCACAAGATTCCATTTATGACTTATGTGAATGTGAACAGCATAGGTATATGCAAAGCTTATGTAGATTATATGGTAAGGTATTAAAATAATTAATATAATTATGTCAAATCAGTCTATCTCCCCGTTTCGATGAAATACAGCCTTGATCGTCGATGATAACTTAGACTTCCGAGTGTAAACTACATTTAGGTAAGATCAACTTGTGCTCAAATCACGGTTCATAGACTACCAATCACCGAGCTCGCGATACAGTTCACTGGTCATCAAAAAACGTTATTACAATTACGCTATTCGAACGCTGAAGAAACTTGCTACAAGTTCCTACAACTGTGCTATTTGAATCCTGAAGAAGCTATCTGCAGGTTGCTATGACTGTGCTATTTGAACCCCGAAGAAGCTAGCTGCACGTTGTTACGGCTGTGCCATTAAAACCTCGAAGAAGCTAACTGCGAGTTGTTATGATCATGCTACTCGAACTGTTAATCCTTTGCACTCCGAATTATATTTCAATTTCGTTACCAGCAGCTCCCAACGCATTCAAGTGTTTTATTTAAAATTTACTTTAACTAAAAAGTAAAGCAATTTAAATAAATACAGGAAGAAACAAGTTCACTTAAATACCAGTTTTATTTTCACTTTTGTTGTATTTCGTAATTTTCAAATGTATGATATCCCTTGAAACAATTTTCTTCCCTATTGATTTAGCCACGAAAGAATGTCGAGTGGGATTCGACAAAGGAGCTCCTGAGATTAAAACTGATGTCGAGTCACGGTCGATAGAGGAGTGCAAAGGGTTAAGCTAGCTGCAACTTGCTACGACTGTGCTATTCAAACCTTGAAGAAGCCAGCTGCAATGCTGCCGTAACTAATCACGCCCAAAGGACGCGGCTCAACCTCCGTTAGTATCAACCACGAAGAACCAGGCTGAGAAAGTCTCAAATATCTTATGGCTTTCGTTATTAACAGAGATTAATGGCTGTAAAGTGTAATTCATCGCTTGAAACGCGGACCGACCTTGAATTCCGCGCGAAACAACCAGAATTCAACGCGCGTTCTGGCGCGAGGAGGGTTCGCGACTGCTTCACGAGCCATAAATATACTCACTCGTGAATGCGCGAGAGCGGCGTTGCTGGTTATCGGAGCCCGCTTCAAAAATTAACTGCATTTAACGAACTAAATTTTACGAGTGAAACGCGGTACACTCGTTCCCGCGAATTGGACACCGTGCTAAACCCCAGCCTGAACGATTACGCGATTTTCGAGAGTTTCGCGGCGCCGAACTACTGATTCCCGCAACGTTCGGTCCAACGAGATCATTTTAAAGTTCTATTTTCCGAGTCTGCAACTGAAAACTTATATTTCTGTTAGAATGTTAGCGAGTGTTGATAACGAAACAATGTTGATATTAGGAAACGAAAATTGAACACAAGTTGTGATAATCATTTCTGGCTTGTCGATGTTTATAATAAAATACACGAGGCAATATTATATATCATATAGTATTTATCTTAAGTATGCATTTATTACGTTTTACACAAGTTATGTACTTGTACAAACTAGTACATGAATGCAAGCTTATCATTTTAAAGTTTTAAAAATAATACTAAACTCGTATGTGTAATAAATTATAAACAGTCGATCATTAAGATCTGAGAAGAAATAAAGAAAAATCTGAAAATTAAATCGAAAAGTAATATTGAACACAAAATATACTTTTGATCATTCCTTGCTAGGTCTTGATTATACAGTTAGCCTTATTAAAGTATTTCAGGAACACCCTATATATATCCCTCGTATTATAAGTTGTTTCACCGTGGCTCCGTGCGCTATTAATACTTTTATTAAAGGTAAATTACTTGCCACTGCCCGCAGCGGTTTTCAGTTTTGCTCAGTGAACGATGTGCTACATCAAATATAATAAAGCGTTATCGTCTTTTGCAAGATTAATTGACCGACCGTTTACATTTGCAAGCGACGCAAAAATCTATTTTAAAACCATCTATTTAAAAAAAAAAACGTAGCATTATTATTATGCCTCGTAAACATTCATATTTCTGAAGTGTACGTACTATCACAACTTTGTCAACTATTATGTTAAATTCATTTTGGATCATCAGCAAAAAAGTTTATGCACCACAGCCATAATACAAATAGTCGTTCCTACGACATTGAATTCGAGAAGTGGTGGAGATAACCACGCGACACTTGCGCAACAGATTCCAGTGACATTTACGCGTGACTCACTGTATATTTTTCCCTGTTCTGAGGTATTTCATTTTGCAATTCAAATTCTAATTATCATTGAACGAGTTACGGAAGTTACTTGTCTTTCATTTGATATTTAAAAATTGTATTCAGGTAAAAATGTTATCCACCTCAAAATCGAAGAGCATCATCTATAGGAAACGCGTGATTATCTTTCATTCGACATTCGAAATTTGTATCCAGGTAAGAATGTTCCTTACCTCCGAATTGAAGAGCAATAGCAAACATGTACCAGTGTCTTCGCGCGCAGAGATTATCGAACCATTAACCAGAGTGCTGGATGAAATCCGAGGAAGAGGTGGCATGTTTAACGAAATTAATTTCGCCAGAGGCAACGAACACAGGATTGTCCCGCGAATGCAATTCGTGGAATGTTCGAATAAGCGACGCGGAAGCGGGGGCAAGTCGCGGCCACCTCGCGATCGTCTCGCGAAACGATGAAATCATTCGACGCGCGTAAACGCGACAAAAGGTCTCCTACTTCTCGCGACCCATAAATATTCCCTGGATTTCACTCCCTGTTCAGAAACGCCCGCACGCATCGTTGAATCCGAGTTATGTGGAGACGCGCTAATAACGAGCCGATTCTATTCCATCGTGGATTCCCTCCTTCTATTACGCGGCACTCTTGCTGCTGTGAAATTTATTGCCGTAGCTGGTATTCCGATATAGCGCGTGTATTTCCTGAGTGACACAAGTGGGGATTCCAAAATAATCATTTCTCTCAATTATCGGTACTAGAAACTATCTTGTACGTTTTAGAAATGTAACATGATTTTTAAAGTCGACTTGTTTTATTAGTTTTTATATATCAAGTGGTACCAGAGTGGTGAAACATGTAGTAAATAGTCAGTTTCGAATTTTCTATTTGCTGCAATACGTTTGTTGATTGTTTCTTGTGTGACAGCACTGGAAATGTCGAAATTATCATGTTTCTCAATTATTACTTGTACGAAAAATTGTTCGACATTTTTAGAAATGCATTATGATTTTTAAAATGCTTTATTGCTTTATATACATTATTTTAAGTAGTAAATAGCGTGGGTACTTACGAAAACGAAATTGTTTATTTGTTCCGATACGTAAAATATAATATATTTTATTTGATTTATAGAGTATGTAATAACATTTTCTTTTCTATCATTCCTAGAAAGACGTTGCGAAGGCGTTTCGCGAGAATTCTTCGATAAGCGATCGATTAACTATTCCATTCGCTGTTCTAAGTAGTCAAGCTCATTAACATGGAAACTGAGTAACATCCAATCACTCGCAATAGGTTAACGAGACTAGAACCCGTGAACCATTAAAATACTGAACCGTTAGCTACAAGGATTAACACACCAGTTAAGTGTTGTAATTGAACTTATTTGAAATGGAAATTCCGTTTATCATAATAGCTCCTATTTAATCACGGGTCAAAAATGCGAGCAGTACCCTTGAGTTATCAGGAAATCGAGCTCTTGAATAATTCTATAGAATGGCTCGATTATGAGGAACAAAACATTCTTTGCATTCAATAATTTCTTGATGAATGGTTGAATTAAAGTAATAATAAATTTAACTGACTATAACAGTATAATGTGGATTAGAAAGGTGAATGGACATAACGGTTAAACAGATTCTGTTACGAAAGTATTTAAACACTAGAAAGGTCACGAAACTAAAGATATTCGAAGATTGGCAGTTGTCTATCTAGCGAAAAGATCGACATTTTTCACGAACTCCATAGAACGTATGCTATTATGGGACTGTTTATATTTATAGCAAAAAGTTAGTAAAAATATTAAAGAACGACACTAATAGTTTTTCTAAACTTTACGTACCTGTAACATGAAACAGAAAATGTTTAATAATTTCTTATTGGTATCTTCAGAAACCATATATCTTACCTAATCACCTGATTAAAAAACAAAAGAAGATAAGACTATAGTAAAACTATACTATCCCAATACAAATTCGTTTGCGTTTATTTGATCGCCGTGCGAAATGGCGAGTCAGAAGCAAGATCGCGGCATCGAAATCACCGCGGAATCGTGGAAGGCAAGTCCTGGGACTTGTCGCCGGTTCCGACTGTATTTTACAAGCGGAGCCATTATAATGACATTTAAACGGCGAGCCACAGATTGCACCGCGACGGGCATAACCTTTCCTAACCGGCTGATTTATTTGGCACGGCGTTGAGCCAACAACGGCGTCGCGAAGAATTACGAGGGCGTGATGAATCTAATAAAATGCCTGTGCACTCTGGCCCCTAATTCGTGACGCTTTTCGCTTCTTGTATGACGGCCTCGTCGACGCATTTTTCATTCAGAATGAAAACTGTTGCGGTCACGGCGGATGCTAATTCTCTCGGACAACGTTCACCAAATTGACTTATTTACGAGGATATGCTTTTTTTTGTTTTTTTTTTGTTTTTTTTTTTAACAAAATGAGAATAGGATCAAATTTTTTATCTCTGTGATAAAAATGTTATCCACTTTGAAACGTGGAGTAATTTGTCTCGAAGCTGGAACGTATGTATTTTAAAAACAGGTGACGAGATTAATAATCTTTTGTTCATTTGCTCTTGAGATTACACCGATAAGGGATGTTGCTTTATAGATTAGAATGGAAATACTTTTGATATATCTTTGTTAACATAGAAGTATATAAAAGTTGTTCGATTATAATACAAGTGGCTCTCTTCAGGTACATGCAGTCAGAATCAATTGTGTGGTGGTTGATAATCTATATCTTTTTGTGTAAATATTTACTACGTATTACGAAACAGATGAATTAAAATTCTGCTTGGAAGATTATTTTGGACCACTACACAAAACAACAAAATTAAATAAAAATGTGGTAATAAAACAACTTAGAATAACTTGAATTTTATTTATGTATTGCTGTTTGACAACATTATAAAGATATTGTTTCTAATAAATTGAACGAAATATTCAAGTAAAATAAAATTTGAATTCTGGAAGCACAGAATCCGGCGCAGAACAATGGTACTTCCTCTGCACCCACGAAATCGACGCTGGTTGCTAGCAACGCGCTGAAAACACCAGGTTGCGCGCGACGGACACATACGCGCGCCGTTGAACACACGCGTATTTCTATCAAGCAATGAGTCGAATACAAGGCTGCGGTGGTTCGTGTTGCATGAGTCGGTGACCTTGAGTCACGCACGATGGAGCAGCAGTTTGAGTGTCGCGCAAAAAGAACGAGAGAATAGAGGGTGGAAGGTACGAGGACGAAGCCGAAGGAAACGCAGAAGAGGAGAAAGGTGAAGAACGAGAAGAAAGGGCAGCGAAGAAAACCATGAGAGTACCGAGCAAACGAGGTGAAAAAGGGTCGATGAGAGAAGGAGAGAAAGAGCGAAGAGATGGTATAAAGAGACCGAACAGAGGGGGGCTGAAAAGGATGTTGAAGGGGGAGGAGGAATTTTATGGCGACGGAGCCTAACTAACCCGCGTAAGTATGTTCGTACGTACTCCCAAGGCATACCGGTGTGTATATCTGGCCGTGTTTGGTGCCGTTTGCGGGTGTTTGAGCGCGGCCGAGAGCGTCTGCGTGTGTCCGGGTCACAAACACTGGGACGCTACATTCGTTTGATCGCGTTTGATCGTGTTGGCCAGACCTGGATCATGGTATAAGCTTCAGGGAATACGATCTGGGATCTCTATTGGTTGGAGGACCTCTAGAGATAAGTTTGCGGCAATGTGATACATTCAGACTCGAGCATGAAACTGGAATAAATTTTGACCGCAAATAGAATTAATTGTACTCCGTTGAGAGAGTTACAGAATATTTGACCCAAGTAATAGGTTGGATTTAGCTGCAACATGAGATGCAGACAGAGATTCTATAGGGTTTGTATACTTATTTGGTGTGAGCAACTTTGGTTCAGTTCTCAACGAAATCATATAGCTAATCATATAACGTAGCCCGTTATCGACACAAGAGTCAAAGTATGACAACATCAGGCTGCGTACGGATAGCAAAAACCAGCGATCGGTTCGAGATGAAATCGCGCTCGCCGCTCCACGAAGACAGGGATACAAAAGTGCGACGGGGAAAAAAGCTCGTTGCCGATCTCGTTCGGCTGAATAATGTTCGCGCGATCTTGGAGATCTTATTCCGCAAAAAGCACGAGGCAATCTTGAATGGGAGAACCGGCCGACTGAGTGATATAAACTAACTGTTCCGACGGGAACGAACCTCTCCCGCGACTCGTAAATCCCGAATCGCTCGGTCGGGGTAACCGGAGCTTCGCTCCTATGGCGAACAAATAAATGTCGAATCGCGATAAAAGGCGTGAGCCACGGCTTATATCCAAGACGCGTTCCACATCGCGGGGCAACGAAGCGTGGCGGATTCACGGCCTGCGCTCGGGGTATTCCCGATCCACGTGCGTACAAACGACGACAGGGCTGGCTTAGAATTTCGCAGATCCCCAGGCTACAGGTAGGTACTGCGAGGACTCCTCGATAATATTTTTGACACTAGGTTTATGAAAGTTCGACGTATCTTTGCTGTATTGCTTTCTTTTTTACGTTTACTTTTTAGGAAATTTTTGATCACGTTTAACCCTTTAACCTATAACAACGTGCGTGATATGTGATGAGGAACATGAACAGCACGAGTCAGACACGCGCGGTTTGAGAGTAAACCGTAGGTCAAGGGCTTAAGGGCATCCAAAGAGTCAAATCGAGCACAAAATATTTTACGTTTATGTTTTTTTTTTTAGAGTGATATGTGGAATGTAGGATAATAAATGGTTTTGGACTGTATTGTACTGTGAATGTACAACAAAAAATATTTTTGAATTCAATTTTTACGCACTCGTGTCTTTGATATATAATGTATAATAAAAATTATTACGAAAATCAAACTCTTTTATTACTACATCAGTGGTACTCATTAAATGTTAAGAAGACACTCTATGAATTACGATAAATACATATATGATTGTGACATCGAAAAGCCACACAAGATTCTAATGGATCGTAAACGTGGAAATCGCGAAATTGCATCGATTTCGAATAACCTCAAACGAACGTCAGCGCGATAAAACGTACACCGACGTGTTCGAAATCGAAGAACTATAAACTTCACCGGGATGGCACCCGTGTGCTGTCGGAGATCTTTTATCTCGCAGGATTATAAAGAAGCGATGAATTATTCAAACGAAGCGGTTGGAGAACGACTAACGCAGGTATTCCCTTGTAAAACGAGAAGCCAAACGTAATCCCAATCAGCTCTCGCACCTACAGGGGGGGATCTTCCTTCATCGCGGGCTAACAATAAGTCACGAATGGCTTCACGGATTAGAAGGAAAGCCAGGAAATCTTCGCGGATGTACACGTATACAAACAGGAATGTACAACTTCATTGAGCTTGAATCCGCGAAAAAGAATTCACACAAACGTACTCGTTTTCTTCAAGTATTCTTTAAACGTGAAAGAGAACCGTGAACAATTCTCAGAAGTAAGAGTACAATGGATAACTCTACTTAATTAATGCGCAGAGGAATGTTTTGAAATTTGTTCAGTCGTCTTTAAATATTTGTATAAATCGTGTATCTATCATATTTGTGACCGAAGCGTGTATTGAATCATTTCGTGTGAAATGATAAGCAATTGATAAAGTATAAGCGTGGGACTTTAGATTCAAGATAAATAATATACAAATATTTCTATGTTTCCTTTGCTCGATAACAATATTACACAATGTTATGGTAGCTGTCGTGATATTATTATTCAAGAAAATTAATTTTTACAAATTAAGAACGTATTATTTTTCCGATGCTCGTTGAACAGAATGGTATTAAATTAATTCTAAAAAGTACTCCTGAAAAGATCTGAATACTTGGGACAAAATATTGAGACGAAATATTGAGACGAAATATTGAGCATCACTAAATGATCTTCTTGAAATATTTCACTCTACATTTCGATTACATAATATATTATTATCCTGTAATTCCTCTTAATTATAATTCATGAGACCAAAAAATGCAATAGTACCCAAACGAGTTAGAATGTTGCAAAACATGGCATCGAATGTCTATCGCTGCTGATAGCACGAGATCATTTTAGATCTTCTGCACGTGACACCGCGTGCTCGTAACAAGTGCCGGTTGTTGGCTGGCTGGTTCTCCTGCATCTCGTCCAGTCTCCCTTCGAAATCGAGAGTCCATTGGCTGGAAGCGTGCAAAACCAGTCTCCGGACGAGGGTAGAAAAAGACGAAGACGATGCTGGCCGGACAGATCGGAAGAAGGAGGAAGGCAGAAGGAGGTTGAATTTCTTTAAGGAATCTACAGTGAATCATGTTTTCCCGCGGCAACTCGCTTTCGACGAGTCGAGTTCTCCGCGCATGTTACGTCCTAGTTCAATCATTCTATGCTGAAATACTCTTACTGAGTAGTTATAAATAATATATCAAATATCCCACATTCTTTTTGTATGAATAATTTTTTACAGCTTGCAATATAGGTAAGAAATATTAAATTTACTGTATAAAGTAGTTATTACCAAAAATAAAGATAATGAAATTTTCATTTTAATAAACATTTTACTAAAACACTTTAGTATATATATTCTATATCTTATCTACATTGTTAACAAAACTTCTATTCTACACAAGAACTTTGATGAAACTGAACTTCGAAACGTCGTTTTTGGAAGAACCAACACAAATATTGATGCCGCACACTTTCGAGTACCCGCGTCCACTGCAAAGGGTAGATAACTCTGAATTTCAATTAATGCACGAGCCATAGAGGAGAAGCGGAGTGCCGGGGATAAAATCTTCGTTTTCTCGAAAGAGGAAAGCTTTTACGGTTTAAAAGAGAATGTGAGTCATGTTCTCGATATAACTCACTTTCAGAAGCACTTAGCGGCGTCCACGTATAACGCTCAACTTTTAATCCGAGTCGGCTAAATATCTGCTGCTAATTGAATGGGCGCACTCTCGTCGTGATTAAAGTTACTCTGCAGACATAATCTCGCTGCTTCAACTTCTCATTATCTCCCTCCCTTGGATAAACTACTTTTACTGCACGTGGCAACTGTAATTAACGCGCGAAAAACTTCAAGAATTTCTGGCTTAATGCGAGACATTCGCGAGTTGCTCTATAAATAAAGGGAAACATTCTTATGATGGTCGAAAGTACTTAAGGGGGCGACGCAAAAATTCTTGCAAAACGTGAATCACTTTTGCTTTTACTCTGGATACTCGCTGTTTCGTTAATGTTTTCAATAAAGACCACGAAGTCGATTTCTTGGGGTTGTTCGCGTCACATAATGCTAAGATTAATTTTAATTAGGGGGCAAAAATCTTGTTAAGGTTCTACCCTTGATAATTGAGATTAATAATGCCATTAATAATAATACACAGAATATTGAGAACATAATTAAAATTGATTCATTCA